GGCCTCCGGACCTGAGCGCGCCGGTTGGGCGCGGAGGGTCGCGCCGCGTGCCCGGGCCTGCAGCGCCCCCTTCGCTGCTCCCTGCCCAGGCCCGGAGCTCGCTCCCGCTCTCGCCGGGCTGCCCTGATCTCCGGCAGCCTGCGGAGAGCCTGCCTCTGCCCGAGCTGCAATCTGCTCCCCTTGAACTTTCCATGGGGGGCCCGGCTGGGGGTGCCCGCATGCCAGCTCCGAGCTCCTGCCCAGTGCCGGCCCGCAGGGCTGATGAGCCGGGGACAGCTTCGCACCCCCCACCCCCGATGCCCACGCTTCCTGCTGCCTTCTCTAATACAAGTGGTTTATTTGTACTCAGAAAGATTGGAAATGACAGGTAGCAGTACCCGCACGTAACTTTAACGTGCATGCCGGTACATATGCTCACGGTCCGGCTCTTACTGTACACATTTGTTTTACTTAGCTGTGGTCTGACCCTGTCACTAGATGTACTCCTGCCGCACTGACTTTAATAAACGCGCACTACTGGTATCCTGCGGGTGCAGACAGCTGCGTGTCTGTCCTAACACTGGCTATGCTGAGTATTTAGGATCGGATTTGGGGCAGGTGTTTCAACACTCGTAGGAATTTCCCTCGAGATTCCTGGAAGGTGGGCAGGAGCCGGGGGCTCAGGTGCCTGGAAACACGACGTCGTGAGTGTGGGGCCCACCCTGGGAAGGGACGCAAAGCCCTGCTGGCCCGGTGGTGCTGAGGGCCGCAGACGCGCCCGTGTCCAGGGGGAACCGTGCGGCACAGGTTCCTTGGTGCGCACCCGAGTGCGTCTCCACGCGCTCACCGACCTCGAGCCGAGCTGCAAGACCCGAGTGGCGCTGATGGTGCCCGGGCAGACGCGGACCGGGGCTCAGGCCCTTGCTGGGGATGAAGACGGCCTGCGGGCCGAGGGGCACCTGAGCCAGCTGTAGGCCCGAATCCGAGCACGGGGAAGGCAGAGGCCTCGGGTGCGGCGCTGAGGTTCTAGGTACCGCACAGGGGCAGGAGGCCAGCCGGCCTGCCACCCCAGGATGCGCTGGCCAAGAGGGTCCCTCACCCTGGTGGAGCGAAGGCTGTGGGAGTGTCCCGCCCGGTCCTCCGGCTGCGCCACTGGCAAAGGTAGCCCACACTCTCTCCGCCCCGGCAGTCCCCGGGCTCTGCACTTCCTGTGGATGAGTTCCGAGGCCTCTCAGGTCCTGAGGTCCCCACTCTGCACGTGGCTCTCTTTCCTCCAAGACGGAGCATGTAGGTTCACAACTCAGCTATCTGCCTCAGAACGTTTGTTTTTTTGTTTTTTGAAGTACTGGGGATTGAACTCATGACCTTCACACTGAGATACATCCCTAGTCTTTTTAAAATTTGCAGTGGGGATTCACTAAGTCAATAAGTTGCCCAGACTGAGCCTGAACTTGTGATCCTCCTGCCTCAGCCTCCCAGGGTGCAAAATCTGTTTGAATTGAATTTAGTCCTAGACAGGGACTCACAGATGGGAGTGGAACTTAGTAGAGTGCTCACTTCCTGGTGTGCACACTGGCCTCAGACCCTGCCCTTGGGGAGGCGAAGAGCTGAGGCTGACTGCCTGACCCGGCCCTACAGCTTGGGCAGACCTCACCGCCATGTGGCCCCTAGCGCCGCGGCAGCCCATCACTGAGACAGGTCCCCTCCCACTCCAGGACCTGGCTTGAACACTCCATCCTGCCATGCACCTCGCAACCCGTCCATCGTCTAGGCCGGCAGCGGTGAACCTACGGCATGTGCACCATAGCAGGCCGTGTGTATCACTGAACGCTCTCTAAGGTTCGCCATCACTGGTCTAGAACGTCTGCTAAAGCAGTTCACAAAGGAGCAGACAGAGCCGGGGCTCCAAAGATGCACAGCAACGCGTGGCCACTCCCTACCCACCATCCTTCAGTGCTGGGGACCCTCGGCCCCAAACTGCTCCAGCAGGCCCTGCCTTGCCTGGCTTCTAGTGCCTTGTGGGACCGCCCGCCTTCTTGGGCCAGATGGGCACAGGGGTCCTACCCACGGCCAGCCTGGCCCCTCCCCCGGGCCAGCTCCTCATGGTCCTTCCGCCCCGGGCTGCTCAGCACCTTCGGCTCAGGGTTGAGCAGAGGCCTCCAAAAGGCGGCAGTGCTGGAAGGTGCTTGGAACAGGGTGAGGGCTGGCACACAGCGGGCACAGCCGTGTCATCTTGGCTTGAGCCATCAGCTGCCTTCTTTTTCTCCTGGGCATTACCAGGTCCCCTCTGCATTACCCCTCTGTCCCCACTGCAGCGCCCCCTCTGCCTGGGCTTCTCCAGCGCAGTCCAGGGGTCCTGCTTGGGAGCCCCGCATTCTCTGGGCAGAGGGCTCTGCTTGGGCTGGAGGGGCAACCTGGGGACAGAAGGGCTTGCCCCGGGGGACCTGCTTCCCGGGAGAAGCAGAGCAGCAGATGGCTGGGCAGTGGCTCTGCAGAGCCCTGCAGCTTTGCAAGCAGGGCTCAGCGGCCAGGCCTGGCCCAGCTCTCCTCCTGGCACCTGGGCCTGCCCGAGCGCTGCCCATGGACAGACACGGCCCTCCCTGCCCACACTGCCTGCTCCTGAGGCCCCAGCTGTGCGCCCCCAGTGACAAAAGTGCCTTTGTTGGCCTCAGGCCCTGAAGCTCGGCTGGGCTAAGGGAGGGGTGAGGGTGGCCCGGGCACCCGCAGGCGCCGCCCCGGCGGGCCGACCCTCCTCACCAAGGCCTCCACACCGAGCGGGGCCCTGGCCAGGTGCCCGCGGTCACAGGCCCCCTGCCTTCCTGAGCTCCCCGTGCAGCAGGGACGCTGACAACTGGGAGGTCTGGCTTGCTTAGGGGAATGAAATCTCACTAAGAGAAAGATGCCCGGGACGGTGAGCCCGGCTGTGCCAGCCTCGTTGCTTCCCTCCAGGGAGCCGGTGTGCCCCGTGCAGACTACCCTCCCCGCACGGCACAGAGGAAGCTCGGACCCACCCCCATGGTGCCCACGCCCCGCCGCCCTGCTTCTTTTGAGAGCCAGCAGGACCCATCCTGCGTGACTTAGTCTGCGAAGAGCCGCACTGAGTAGAGCCCTTCCTTCTCGCCCGCTGTGCCGGGGCACATTCTGCTGGCACTCCCTGTGGGCCCGCAGGGCTGCCACGACCTCTGGGGGTGACTGCCGTCACTGCCGTGGGGCCCCCAAGTAGCCCAGCGTCCGTGGGAGCAGCCGCAGAATCTCAGTGAGCGCGGGCCGTGCACAGCGGGTGCTGGTGTTCTCTGCGCAGGTGGAGCTTGGCCCCGGGCAGCCGCTCGCCCGCAGCGCCTGCGTCCCGCCGGCCCGGCGCGGGTTCCCAGAGGCACCGTCAGAGGTGAAGTGGGGCGGCGACAGGCGCCCGCCCACCCGCGCTGTCTGTGCCAGGCTCACCGTGCCCTCTGTCCCAGGCAGGAGTTCCGGGCGTGGACTGGAGTGAAGCCGTCAAGAGCTGCAAGGGCAAAGCCAGCCAGAGTCGCCACCACGCACAGCTCCGGCTGGGCCGGCAGCCCGGGGCCCGGCCTCCAGGTGAGCCCGGAGCGCGGCTGCAGGGCTGGGGCCCGCGGCCTGTGCCCGGGGACGGTTGGGAGCCAGATTTCGGTGGCGTAAAGCGGCACCGCGGCCAAGGACAGCGGGGCCAGATCAGTGGTCCCCCACAGCAGAGGACAAGGCTCTTGTCACCTGCCAGGCGGCCCCGCTAGTGTGGGCTTCCGTGGCAAGGGGGTGACCGGGGTGCTAGTGACAGCCTCTAGTACCCTGCACCGGACCAGGCACTGCGCGGCCAGATCTGCTCCGCAGCGCCACACCGCCTTCAGCAACCAGAGGAGCCGGCCTGAGGGAGACACGTGAGGCGGCCTCCAGCTCCGAGCCACCCGGGTTCAGGGGCGAGGCGGCCTCCGGCGCAGGACGCAGCTGGGGCGGTCGGCAGTGTTTCATTCCCGCAGCGGGCAAGATCTTTGTCCTGGAGCCGGGAGCCGGCAGCCGGGAGAAGTGGAGAATCCCCGCTGACATGGCCTCAATTTTGTTTTTCAGGTCCCCGAGGTGAGGAAGTTCACACCTAACCCCTCAGCCATCTTCCAGGCCTCCGCTCCCCGGATTCTCAACGTGTGACGGCCGGGCGGCTGAGCTGCAGGGTGGGGGCGCCCCGCGGGCTGCGGGCCGGGTGCAGCGGAGCAGGAGGGAACGGCACCCCAGCTCGGCCTCACGTTCGCCTCGGCCCCGGCCGGCCTCCAGTCGGGAAAGCTGCGCAGCCCGAGGAGCAGTTCGCTGGGCTGGCGCATACGGCCCTCAGGCGGTTTCCCCAGGATGCATGACTTTTAGTAATCTTTTAACCCACGGGCATGCCAGGTTCTAAAGCGGCCCGCGTCTCCACTGTACAGCTCAGGTCATCACCTGCACGTGACTCACGGTGATGCCAACGGACGGTGCAGAGGTCTCCAAGGGAACAGCGTCAAGCACGGGGCCTCCACCTTGCACGGTGTCTCTCTCTAGCCCAGACGACCCTCATGTTTCAGCACTCCCCTTGGGTGCATGCGGTCCTGCGGGAATGCCGCTGCCCCCGCAGTGTGCCCCATTTATTACCAGTTTCCCTTCGGCCCCCACACGGGGTAACTGCAGGGGAACGACCACGCGTGCCCACGCTTCCCTGACGGTGGCCTTTGGACAGCACCTGCACCAGCCCTCAGCCGTGCTGCAGCTCACAGGTCGGATGGGAGCTCAGGGCCCACCGTGGAGGCACAGCCTCTCCTCCATGGCTGCCTCCGACAGGCCCCGAGCCCGGTGCCCTCTGCCCAGCAGCCTTCTGACGCGAGGGGCCCTGTCCCTTCTTGCAGAGTACAGGCACAAAGCTCAGGACGGGTTTGGGGAAGGAAACCTAGGGATTTCTGTGGCCCCTCCTTCCTCTAAGCCCTGGGGGTGGCATCTGGGCTTCAGAACCAGCATCCCACTCAGGCTGCCTGGGTGTCCCCCCCACCCCCGGGTGCTGGCTCTGGCGGGCCCGCCCCTCCCCCAGCTCGCTGCGTGCCCAGGGCGCCCGGCTCCCGCTGCAGGGTGTTCCAGGCAGCTGCCCCTGGGGCAAGAGCTGTGGCCAGGCCTTCTGTGGGAGTGCAGATTAACTGTACAATCTGACTTTACTAAAATGCAAACACGCACTGTTTCAATTTCTCCTTTACTTTAGAAATGGTTTAAATCATAGATCCGCAAATCTGCCGGTACTTTTTCTTTCATCTCGTCTCTTCCTGACTTTCATGCCACACAGCTACTGCCAGTATCCTTGGAGGCCTGGCAGCCCTGGCCTCTTCTCAAAGCGGGCTCAGGCCACAGGGACGCTGTAGGCGGCGCATCACGGAACCCATCGCCATGCCCTCCGGCTCTGCCGCCCAGTGCTTCCGGCCCTCACCTGCAGCGCCCTCCTTCCCGCCCTGCGCCAGAAGCCCCCGCCCCTCCTGGTTCTTTGGCACCAAGGATGCACGGGCTTTGCTCCCGCCCCAGAGGGCCTGACCTCCAGCAGGGCGACCACCTCCCCATGAGGCTTCAACACTGGGTGACCCTCAGTCCAGGTGTGAGGCCTTGCGTCATGCTAAGGGAGCCACCCCTGTGGCCACAGGCTGCTCAGAAAGCTTGGGCGCCGGGCTTCTCACGGGAGAAGCCTGGGCTTCCGAAGAGCTTCTCACGGGAACGGAGAGTTGCAGGCCGGAGGTGCACCAGCCTGCGGCAGCTTAACTATCAGCCTGAGAAGGGGCCCTAGTTGCCTTTCACATTTTATCCGACTTGCTAACATTATTCCACACGCAGGCCCCCTCAGCAGGCGGGGGGCGGGGGGCGGGGGGCCGAGGTCCTTCCCCAGATCGAGAGGGCTCGAAGTGGCTCAGATGGAGGCCCTACCTCTGCGCCACAGGACGCTGCACTCCGGGACCTGGGGTCAAGCTCAGTAAAGGCGCTACTCTGAGATGGACGGAGGAGCTGCCCCGACAGGGGCCTCTGGTGACGAGACACACGGGCTGTGACGCAGCACTGCGCTCCGCAGCTCCGGGGCAAACCCAGGCAACACAGTACCCTCTGCCGCCCGCGGCCCACGTGGCCTTCGCAGCTCCCACAGAAAACGGCGCCTCTGAAGAACCACAGCCTCCCCGGCCCCTACTCTGACGCCTGTGCATTTTAAACAGCCTTGCAGCACACGGCGGAGCAGTGGCCACGGCCTGAGGCTGTCAGGGGAGCAACTTCTTTCAGACCAACTTCACCTTGCCGACAACCAGCGTTTCTGTGCTGGACACCAGGAGCTGCTTCCCTCTTGGCTTTGGCTTTGAGGAAACGCTGAGCTCATTTATGCGCCAAGCTGTCAGAAAAATGATGTCCATGCTCAACATATGCCTTCCGAAGAGCTTCAACTTTTATGTAACTCCAATCACTTGTCTCGCAGGGCTGCAAATTCTTTTTGGAAAGAAGCAGAGGAACTAACTTAAAATAAATACAAATAAAAAACTCTACCCGCGCCCTGCGCCCAAGCTTTCTGAGCGAAGGAACGCAGTAAGCAGCCTTGCCGGGCATCGTGCTTGCAACTCAGGAAAGCCCGTGAAATGCTGAAAGATTTATTGTAGACATTTTGTTACACAATGTTACACATTAGGATACAGATGCACTTGATACATTACCACAGGCGGCTGTTAAATCTTTTAGTATTTCTTTCTCAAAAATAAAAGGTCCTCAGGCTCTGGCTCCAGGAGTCCAGCTGTTTCCTCCGGACCTTGCAGCCCCCACCGCCTGCAGGGCCTCGCTCAGTCCCTGCCCGCCTGGCCACCCCCAGCAGCAGAGGGCCCTGGGCCTGAGTTGCTCAGGCAGTTAGCATCGGGCCAGGGCACTGCACCCACGGAACGATTTCTCTGCGTGTGCAACTCTCAGACATCGAATTTAAAAGGCGGCTCTTACTCCGCCACTCCCGGCTTCATTTCAACAGACATCTATGGGGCCCACAGAAACGTGAATCATGTGGCCTAAGTTTCTCTGGCTCTACTCACAGGTTTCATACACTCACTGAGCAGGGGAAGAGCAGGTCTCTGACAGACCAGGCCGGGAGGCCAGGACAGTGTCTTCCCACGGCCTGGACCCCTGCAGCCACCGCTCTCCTCCCCTCCCGCAGAGGTGGCAGTGGCTCTTTGCTCAGGGCGCCTCTGAGCACAGCAGCTGTCCCTGGCCTGAGCAGTCCTGTGACTTTAAGGCACTCACAGGTGTTTCCTCCTGGGGAAACTGACAGAGGAGGACAGGATGCGGGGGCCACTGATAGGACCGACACCCCGGCGGGGCTCTTGCCCTCCAGGCCAGGTCACGCCACGTGTGGGCCAAGCTGACGAGCCTGCCAGCGTGGGGATCTGAGGACGCTGCCTGCTCCTACTGCAGTCGGATTCCCCGGCTGGGCAAGTCTTTTCCAGGCCTCTGCTGGGGCCACCCACCCCTTGATTCTGGCTCCACGCTGGCGGCACTGTGTGTCCGTGCTCTACAGATGAAGAATTCTGCAGCACGCAGTCTCCCGGCCTCCGCGCTGTCCTGCAGGGCGGCTCCTCTTCCCCGCAGGCTCAACCAGACCCTCGCACGGGCAGGCGGGAGCAGAGAGCCGCTCGCTGAGTGCCAAGCCCCACCTGCTTCAGGGCAGCCCGAGCCGGCTGAGGGGTTCAACCTCAAGCCTGACAGACCTGTTCTGTCCCCTGGGGAGTCAGGGGCCTGAGGCGCCCCTTGAACTCACCCAGAGGGGCACAGGACCCCATGCCCCACGGCCTGGCTGCTCCAAACTCCCTCCACAAGCAGGACACAAGACTTCGGGCCTGAAAAGTCTCATCTGGAAAGGACACTCTGGTACCACAGCCAGGCAGAGGCCACGCTACCGTGAGGCACCCAGGAACCGCCTCGCCCTCCGGACAGCAGGCACGGCAGTCCGCGCACTGCAGACAGGGCTCGAGTCCTGCTTCCCCGGGCCGCGGCCGGTGCTCACTGGTCCTCGTTCAGGATCCCCATGTGCTTGTTGGTGAGGAAATCCAGAAACGGAATGTTGCAAATGGCCTGGTGAATGTTACTCACTGTGATTTCTTTGGGAATCCTGGTCCAAAAAACAGAAGGTCTCATCAGGTATAATTCTCACAAAGATTCGTAACAATAATTAACTTAGCAAATTCGTACTGATTCGTGTACAGAACATCTCCGTGGGACACCGCTGGCTGGGAGGCGCCTGCAGCCCCGCCCCGCCCCGCCCCGTACCTGCTGGGAGACGCCGTCTGGTACCCGACAGCCAGCGCCTGCCTCAGGACGTCGCTCACCAGCTGCTCTGTGGCCTGCAACGAAGACCTCGTTACTCTCACACGGCCACCTTCTTGAAGGCAGAAAGGGACCTGCCTGACCCCATCCCACGCCCATGCTTTTGAAATGACTGCAACTAAGAGTCAAAGTGTCCAACAGGGAAAATTACAGATCTCAGGAACAGACTCCGATGACCGAGGCCATCACTCTGAGGCAGGATGTTTGGGGTAGCTTCCTTAATCAGACACTGTTTTTAAGGAATAGAAGGTGGCGGCCGAGGATGTAGCTCAGCAGCATAAACACTTGCCTGGCAAGCCTGAGGTCGTGAGTTCGATTCCCGGTACCAAAAAAAAAAAGCAAGGTGGCACACACCTGTAATCCCAGCACTCGGGAGGCTGAGGCAGGAGGATCATTGTGAGTTTGTCAGCAGCCTGGGCTACAAAGTGAGCTCAAGGCCAGCCTGAACTGCAGAGCGAGAACCAGTCTCAGAAAGAAAAAAAAAAAAAAAAAAAGGAATAGAAGGTGCTGCTGAGGTGCGCCGCTGCCGCTGAAGAGGGAGCAGGGAGAAGGCACCACTGAGCTAGAACAGGCCGGAAGTAGAGGCTGCAGCCTTGCTGGGAGGGGACAGCAGTGGCCGGTTCTGCTGTGACATGCAGAACACAGCTCAAATCCCAGCTGGTCAGATGGCTGAGGCAGAGTGGTCACAAGTCCGAGCCCAGCCAGGGACACTTCGCAAGACCTTGTCTCAAAATAGAACAAAAAGGGCTGGGACAGAACTCAGTGCAGAGCACTTGCCTAGCTTGTGGGAAGCCCTGGGTTCATCCTTGGCACCACAACAAAACAACAACCTGATTTTTTTGGGTACTGGGACTCGAACTCAGGACCTTGTGCTTGTCAGGCAGGTGCTTGTGCCGCTGGGCTACATCCCCAGCCAACCTTAGTTATATTAGTAAAAATCTTCTGAAAACACTCTCCTACTCTGAGGAAACATGACTTAGTTCTCTTAACAATCAGAAGAAATCAAAGCTAGCTCCCTGAGACGAGCCCTCTAACAACCTCTGTTGATCTCCCTCCCTTCTGTTCTCAGCCTTCACTCGAAGCAGCTGGGGCGGAGCTCCAGGGCCGGGTGCTTGCTGAGCATGAGCAAGGCCCTGCGTCTGACCCGCAGCTCCACGAAACAGAACAACTTCCTTCCCCTTAACCCCCAGGTCCTTAAATCCGGCCACCCCATCCAGCGGCCCGCACCTTGGCAGCAGACACCCACCTTCAGGATCATGTCCTCCACCACCGACGCGTACACGTTCCGGTGCAGCGCCACAGGCTGCAGCGTGATCCCGATCTGCAAAGGGGAGAAAGCCGTCTGTTCCATTTCCACGTCTCACGCCACCCACTTCCAGAAGGCAGCCCCTGACCGCCACCGAGAGGGGCGGCTGAGGAAGGGCTCCCGCTCAGCCCCAGGCAGTCTTCCCTCTCATGGGAGGACCCGCTGGGATTTGCCTTGAGTTCTGACAGTAGGGCCGACACCCTGGAAGCTCTGGAATCAGGCTGGAAGGCCCTTTTAGCAAGAAGTAAAGAAGTCCTTGGAAACTGCGCCCATCCCATCTCTCCCTTCATCCCTGTGAGAGCAGACACTGCCTTTCCCTTCGGTCCCGAGCTGCAGGCAGGCAGCAGATGCTAAGGAGCTGCTGATTTCATGGGGGAGGAGCAGCAGCTCCCCCCGTGTAACAAGGGCAGGACTGCATGTCTACACCACAGGCGGGCCCTTGAGAGCCATACCCGTAGGGGAAAGATGACCTGCTGAAGCCTAACTCGGAAATATTAGGACTTGCTGCGTAAAGGGAAAGCGCTTTGCCTGAGGCGGGCAGACAAGGGGATGAAGTAACGAGCTGCCCGCGGCCCACACGCAGTGCTGGCCCAGGAGCACGCGCACACCCGGCTGCACGGCTCCCTGCGGCTCCGGCTCCTCCCCCCGGCCAAGCCACCTGCCTTCTGCGTGATGTCACCAATGAACTCAGAGCCGGGAGTCGGAGGCAGGTAGAACTTCATTTCTTCTTGCTTCTCTTCCTGCTCCTTTTTGATGTTTATCTTTAGCGGCTCTGAGAGGCTGAGGACATCCACCTCCTCCTCATTCTCTGGTTCTCTTTTCTGAAACTGCTGCAGGTCCTCCAGTTTCCGGCAGAGGTTGTCGGCAGAGGAGAAGGACGACGGGCACTCTGCAGGAGGGATAACCAGTGCTGCCACAGCCGTGCCGACCGCGGAGCAGCGCCCGCGCCTGCCCAGACCACAGCCTGCACAAGGGGCCGCGTCTCACGGGAGCCGACCTCCTTTCCACCCCTGCAGTTCTGCAGATCGATCCTGAAAAGAGCAAGCACTTCCCGGGAGAAAAGTGCACACACAGCCAGCCGCACAACTGCCAATGGGGCCACACAGACAGCACCTAACTCTGACTTCCACCACCAAAAACCAGGCCAATCCTCTGCTCCAAGAATTAATGACTGAACTGTTTCTCCTTCACCTTTTAAACGTGGTAAGTTTAGGAGGCACAGCACAGAACATGGAAGTCACCATACGCTCACCAGTCGAGGGGAGCGCTGCTGACGGCTCCGTGTGCCCTGTGCACCATCTGCCACGGGGCTTTACAGCCAGCCTCGAGAGGGCAAGGCCCCCTCCTCTGGGCTCTGAGCCGCTATCAGTCGGCGCCGTAACAGGAAGCCCAGCACATGGAGGCTCCCGTGCCGCGGAGAACAGCGGCACACCCTTCAATACGGTCTCTCCGCCCGGGAGCTCAGATCTAGAGGCCAGAGGAGCCTCGTGGACCTCAGGCAAGCACCATGGCCTTTATGATCTCAAAGGAAACACTCGAAATGCTGCTTCTCCCCAAACACCTCTGAACTTTACTGGTGAGGTGTGGAGGTAAATGACAGGTAAGACAGGCCCCTCTTCAGGGAAGTAGGACGGGCTTGTCTACTGGGGGATCCTAAGGTCACAAAGAGAGGGAGGTCACTTCACTCTGGACGAAGGAGGTGGAGGAGGGATCTTTGAAGAAGAAATGACGCTGAGGAGGCGGCCCGAACACGCATGCCAGCTGGGCGGCCCCAGCCGAACCCCCCGGCTCGGGTCCCCACACGCGGGGCTGCGTCGGGGGGCACAGGAGCTTGGCCAAGGCTCCCGTCCTCCACGCCAGCGCCTGCCAGGCCTGCCGCCTACCTGGTTCGCTGTCGATCTGGGTCAGCACGTCCTCGATGGAGTCGCCCTCCGCCCTCAGGCTCTCGGGGTCCGGGGGTGTGTAGCCGTGGCAGCGGCACCAGTGCGCAACGTGCTTGGTCTTAAGCGGGGTGAGGTGGTGGAATCTTGGGTTCTTCTCCAGTATTTCCTGTAGGACTTTTCGCATTGTCATCGCTCTTTGCCACTTAAAAAAATGTTTTTGGAACCATAATTGAATCGTTCAGCTTAGCAGGTGAGTGTTGAAACGAATCACGCAACTGAAGATCACCGCGCTGACCTAACTTGTTGTGCTCATTCTCCTCTAAAGAAAAAAGTCAGACTGCTACTCTCCAGAGTGAAAAATAAACTGAAGAGCTCCTACGGGCTCCCTAAGGCTTACGAAACGGAACAGAAACCCGGGGTCCGGCATCGAAGCCTCTCAGGCGGGCTCCTGCCATCCCTCTCCCTGCCGGCCACATTGCTGCCTGGCCATTCTGCATCAGCCGCTTCCTTTTTAAAAAAAAACATTTCTGTGGCGCTTGGGATTGAACCCCGGGCCTCAGCTGCTAGGCAAGCGCCCGGCCTGAGCCACACCCTCCGCCCTCATCCCTCTTCCTGACGCTGCTGCATCTGCACAGGGGCTGCCATGCTGTAAATATGCGATAAATACTTCGATTTGTGTGGTATTTTACAAACTTCTAGAAAACACGGAAGATGTTTCTGCCGAGGCAAGGAAACTCAGTCCTTCACAGGCTGTAGGGCTCTGTGGGACACAACTTTGTTCACTGCCATCAAATACGGCAACAGAACGTGCTGTAAATCTGGTCGCTGTTCTGGGACAGCCTGAACGCACAGGCGTCTGGGCTCTCCTCTCCCACGCGCTGCCGCCGGTGACCGTGTGCCGCGAGGGACAGGCCAGGCCTTACCTCGGCGGCTCTCCTCTTCCCAATGTTCCAGCTGTAGTACTGCTCCACGGACTTGGCAGAAAAACAGCTGGCGTCTTCACCTAGAATGCACAAACCCCGCACGCTCTGAGTCAGCTGCTGCGGCTGAGACCAAATCTCATTTGCTAGCGGCATGGCCCAGTTTCTTCGGAGTCACAACCAGGCAGGTCCAGCTGTGACACGGAGGGGCTGCTTCTGGGCACCATACTCCTGTGTGTTCTAAGCAGTACCGACCCTGGAAAGTGAACTTCTTTGGCCGAGTCTACTGCCACCAAGCTACCCCTCACACCCCCAATACTGGGGACTGAGCCAGGGGTGCTGTACCACTGACCTACATCCTGCTCCTTTTTATATTTCATTCTGACACAAGAGTCTTGCTAAGTTGCCCAGTCTGGCCTTGAACCTCTAGTCCTCCTGCCTTAGCCTCCCGGAAGCTGACATTATGGGCATGTGGCACTGTGCCTGCTCACAAAGATATCCAATAGGTGCAGATGGCACTCTAGCTGGAGGCCTGGCCTTACCACTAAGTCACTGAGCGGCCGTGGGCCCGTGGTGCCTCTCTGGGCCTCAGGTCTTTTGGGCGGGGCAGAGGTCTCACTGCGCTGCTCAGGCTGGTCTTGAACTCACACCCCTCCTGTCTTACCAGCCTCCCACGCAGCTATGACTGTGAGTGTGCACCGCTGCGCCCTTGTTTGGTTTTGTTCCTGAGTGTTACTGGGGACTGAACCAGACTTCACGCAGAATAGACAGGCATCCTACCACCGTGCTTCGTCCCCATCCCATCCACGTCTAATATTCTGCATTTGTATCTACATTATGAAAAAACCCCAGATTTTTGAGTAATTTCTGTTGGGTTTAGAAACTGTCAGTGCAACTTTATTTTGAGCACCTCAAAATGATCCCTCAAACTTGGAAGAAAAAAATGCTAATTTCTTAAGTGACTCCATCCCGCCCACCAGAGGGCTGTCCATCCCGTCACAGTTGGGGCCAACACAGCCACGCGCATGGGCAGGGATACACGACTTCGCTTCTGGCTCCTGGAAACTGCGCCCCTCCACACAGTGAGAGGGAGAGCTGACTTCTAGAAGGAAGACGAATGGTCTTTTTCAAGTCACACAGACTAGTCTTTCTCTCGCTTCCCCACCCTCAGCCGGAGAACCTGAGCACGCTCCTTCCCCTGGCTTACCCAGGCTGCCCTCCCCTCTGTGAAATGGAGGTGACCTATTACACGAGGCCTGTAGCTAATAAGATATTAAACACAACAGCCTTGTACACTGGAGGCAAGTGCTAATTACTTTCCTTATTAATAAACCGTAAAACCTAATGCAGAGTTTCAATTAAATCTAACAATTTATGATTTATGTACATAAAAATGCAAACAATTCCTTCAAAATCAGTGGAAATAAAGACTAACTGAATGACCAAAATATTGTGAGTTGTAAAACCTGAGAATGAGCTACCTCTGGCTAAGTCCTCCTAAGATAATAGCTACCACGTCAGCATAGCAATTGTACTAATTTACAATTCCAAGTGATCTGAACTCACTCAATACTCTAAGCAGTTCACAGCTTTAAAAAATACATCTATATATTCAGTATAATTGTCTTACTTTTTGCAGTGATTAATGGAATCTTCTTTACCACTGCCGTTAGGAGTTGCTGGATAGTCTCCAAGTGGTCTATCCTGAGAAGGGTAAAGGAAAGTGAATGTAGTAGCTTGTCATCATACATACAGGTACACAGGTAATGAACAGTGGTATGTACAATCCCGCCTTCTGAGAGTGTTACAGTAACACTGTTACGTGTGCATGTCTTCCCTTCTACGACAGCCTGTACGAACGGGTAGTGCTCCATGCCTGAACAGGAAATGTCAGCAGTAAATGAACAGGGAGGGGAGGGGAAGTAAAAAGAATTAGGAGGTGTGATGCACACACACCAACTCCACATGAGGGATGTAATCATTATGTACTGCAAACACGAACTCGTACCAGGAATTGAACTCAGGTCCTCACACTTGCCAGGCAGGTGCTGCACCACTGAAGCACATCCCTGGCCTTCACACATTTTACTTACATTTCAAAATTAAACAGTGGGCTGGGGATGTAGCTCAGTGGCACAGTGCCTGCCTGGCAAGCTCAAGGCCCTGAGTTCAATTCCTGGCACCAAAAACACAACAACAAGAAATCAAACAGCAACGTAATCTTTTTACAAGGTGACTGCTGCTCAATCAGAAAGCTGCAGCACACAGAGCTACTTTAGGGCTGCTTTAGGGCTGCTTGTGCTGATGCCTCCACCCTAACATCTGTTGTGCTGTTTTTTTTTCCAGTACCAGGAATGGAACTCATGACCTTGCGCTTGCCAGGCAGGCGCTGTGCCGCTGAGCTACATCCCCAGCCCCTCATCTGTTACGCTGAATGGCTGTCTCTGTCTTCCTCCCAAGTCTGAGACACTTGCAGGTGCTTGGTCACAGGTGGCTCCCCACGGGACCTTGGGGGCGGCACCGCCCACCAAGAGGAAGCTGTGCGGGAGCCCAGAGTGCAGGTGCGCGCCCTGACAGAAAGCCAGCCCAGCGGAGGGACGGCGCGTGAGAAACTTCGTCCCCGCTGATTCCGCAGAGCGCAGAGGACCAGCGGCGGCTCAGCCAGCAGGAACCCTGCAATCCTAGGGGAAGCCCCTAGGGCTCACCACAAGGGCCGCCCCTAAATCGCACTGCTGCATAAAGGCTCAAACTGCAGGGACAGACAGCGCCCTCTCGGGCTCACTCTCCACACACTGCGCTGTCACAGGTGTGACTTCAAGGTCACTGCAGAAACACCCAGAGCAGCGCTCCTTCCGACAGGACTGGGGTAATTACTTGATGACATAGCTTCCCAGCTCCGAACTTTCTTCTGTTTTCACTGCTGTCTGGGCCTCCTGAGACAGGCAGCTTGGCACGGGGGTTTCCGGTTCAGTCTTCACTGCAGGAGAGGAACAGAGAGGAGCTGTCAGGGCCGGCGATGGGAGGGCCGTGCAGGCGGCCAGGAGCCCTTCCAGCTGTGGTGGGGACACAGCTGGGGACCAGTGTGCTTCTGTCATCACAGGGTCAGCACACAACGGGAGAACTGTCAGCTCAGATCCAAGAGGAGCGGCTTTCAGGCGCATGACAAGGCGAGGACAATAAACTGGCTTTTTAGATACTGCTCAAAGGGCCACCACGTGCCACGGAGATCCACCCCCACCGACAACGCCACGTGGCACTGTGTGCTGGCTGCTCTGGGGTGGCGGCCCCTTCGGTGCCATCTCCCCGCCAGGTTTGCTTGCTCTTAGCAACACCCTAGTGCTCTGAGACACAGAGAGAAAGCGAGAATCAGATCTGTTGTGCCCAGAAACTTACAAGCAAATCATCAGCAGGGTTTAACATTACAGGTAGCACCCCTTTAGTCACAAAATCTGCAGTTCTCCAAACGCTAAAACTTTCTGGGCACCAACATGATGCCAGTGAAAAACTAGACACCATGAAGCTTTGTTTCATGTACAAAATTAAAAATACTGCACAAAATCACCTTAAGGCAATGTGTGTACGAACCATTCGTAAGCCCATTTCATGTCTACATAAGTCCAATCCCCAGGGTATTTACATGCATGCAAATACTGAGCAGTGGCTGAAACCTGAAACTCAGTGCCAAGCATGTGCAACCAAGGGCACCCACCTTGGACTAAATCTACCGACGGGAAGACAGCAAGCGTCAGGTCTATGGGCCGCCGCCCTTTCCTAGACAGTGTTCTCTGATCAAACACCATGGCTCCACACCTTTCCCTGACACCGTACCACGTACACTCCTGAAACTGCTTTGTTGTCATGGTAACACTCTGGTGTTTTCTTCTACACTTTCTTTTTCAACCTTGCCATTTAGGTCTACGATCCAACTCAAGGTACTTCTGTTTATGGCACAGGGTAGAAAACAAGGCTCCCTGCTCTCCCAAATGAATAGATCCACCCAGCCCAGTACTGTTTACTGCGATCATCCTTTCCACATTGAATCTGTTGTAAACCAGGTTACCATATATATGTGGCTTTAATTCTGGATTGTCTTTGCTGTGTCATTAATCTATTCTTTTTTTTTTTTTTTTTTTGTCTTTTTGAGACAGGTTTTTTTTTTGGTTTTTCTCCGGTACCGGGAACC